ATAACTTAAAGCTTACATTATGCACTTGTAGTGAATAAAACTTCAGCGTAAATAAAACTGCTCTGAGATTCTGTTCAGAGTCAGCCATTTTGTCTTCTTTCTATTTTTTTGAGGTTTTCTTTATATATATGTATAAAATTTAAAAATAAATATTACAGACTGATTAAACTGTGCCAGCTTATACATTTGCGTTAATAAATCTTTGCTTTAACATGTCACTCTGTTTGAAAGTTTTGATTTACGATCACTTGACGCACTGCTAGTTACGATGTATCTTAACGGACTTCTACACCATGCTAGTTTTAAGCTAACTCCTCTCAGCGTAGCGTTTAGAGCCGACTTTACACCCTGTTCAGCTGGTGCAATGAAGTCCTTTCGCTAAAACGCTAACAATGCGCAGCTCTCTCAGCGTTTAGACGTACCGTACGCGTTCCTCATATCCACTTTATTCCGTTTATAAGATTAAGATTGGATAAATTTATGCTAATCTCTACTGAGAACACTGGATTAGCCGGATTTTGATTAGCACAAAGAGCTTAAACACTAAGACTCTAACATATAGCTTATATAGTTGCCTAAATAAAGGTGACAGATGTTAAACTAGAGTTTAGTTAGTAAACTAGTAAACTGTTAGTTAACCAATAGTAAACTATTTGTTATGTTTAGCATGCTAGCATGACAAGACAAAATGTTCTGATATGTGACATACACTGAGGTGCTGATTTATTAGCTACTTAATAGTGTGTTTACTAAACAACTGGCAACTCAGTGTCTGTGTAATGAGTGTGTGTGTGTGTGTAATGAGTGTGTGTGTGTGTGTGTGTGTGTGTGTGTGTGTGTGTGTGTGTGAGAGAGAGAGACAGATGATCACGCCTGCCTGTCAGTGCTCTTCCTCACAGCTGAGAATGAATGAGCGGAGTGTCAAATAGGAGCCAGAAGACGTGCTGAGTGAGATTGAGATGTTTTGTGTGTGTGTGTGTGTGTGTGTGTGTGTGTGTGTGTGTATGTGTGTGTGTGTGTGTGTGTACATACTACAGCATGTTTCTGAACATCACAGTGATGGATGTTTGACTTCCAGCCATTTGATCACCTTCGAACATGTGCACCATGCTGAGAGTGAACATGTGTGAGTGTGTGTGTGTGTGTGTGTGTGTGTGTGTGTGTGTGTCGGTGTGTGTGTGTAGGTGTGTGTGTGTGTGTGCGCGTGGCTATGCAGATGTGAGCGTACACACTCACACACACCGCAGGCGTTCGTGTCTCACTGCAGTGTTACTCCAGAGTGTGGAGCTGCAGTGTGTGTTTTTCTTCACACGTATGATGTTATTAATAACGAATATTATATTAAAATATTCATCTTTATTCAGATTAATTTGAATTCGTAAATTAATCGCAACACATTAATCATCATCGTCATTCATAATGTCAGAGGACGTCCCACCTCTGTATCATTCACGCAGGTGGGCGTGTCTTCGTCATGTACTTAATTCCACGTGTACTACACACACCTCATTTTAATACACACTGATTGATTAATTATAAGTGCTTGTTGTAGGGGGCGTGGCCTTGATCATTAGTAGGTCACATGACCATAACATGTTTCATTAATTTACCTAAAACTCTCGAAAGCGCCGCTTCTCTGATGCGTCCTTTTAAACCTCGACTGTAGTTTATTGTTTTTAAAGTCGGTTTTTAAATACGAAAAAAGAAAAGAGAAGAGAGAAAAGAAAAATACTTGGAATGATCGCATTACACACCTCCACGTGGAAAACTAATCCCGTCTGAATAAAGAGACATTTTTTATCAGCATTAGAAACTAAGGAAGCAAACACTGAAAACGTTTTTTTATCTTCTCGACTGCTATCTTACCAAGATACGAAATGCAAGCAGCTTGTGATGTCACAAAACAGGCTCGAACCAATCACAGGATGATATGCAAATGACCTGGAAGGAAGTGGACATGGCAACTGGAAATGTTTATCTGAAGAACCTGCTTGCTAAGATAGCTAGATTCGTTTCTGATTTGCATATCATGCATATTCATAGATCCTGGTATTGTTAATGTGGGTAAAGTTATTGAGATGTTCCTCAGCCATTTTTTAGAATTGAGTAAAGTTTGTTTGGTGTGTGGTGGCTAAACCGAACTAAAAAAAACTAATCCCGTCCGAACAAAGCTCGAGACTCTCGTTATGTTTTTAATCCGCGTTAGGAACTAAATAAGCGAACGCCGAGAATAACGTTTTGTTTTGCTCGACTGCAAGTGGAAAATTCTGCAAATTTGTTTTTCTGTTCAACAACCGCTTTTTAACGTGATAAATATGTATATATAAATATATATCTTCGTAAGCAAACTACTAAATCTGTTGATCCACAGATGGAATAACAGATTAATTCACTGAAAAAAAAAATTAACCAGCGGTCTGAAATGTAGGCCTGCGACTTCCTACAACACGGAAAAATCTTTCTTCAATTAAAAACGGTTTGAAACGGCGACCGCAGATGAAGTAGTTTATGATGTATGGCGTCTTTTCTCACTGACTCATGTAGCGGGACGATGGGCGAGGGTTCGAATCAAAGGGCTGACAGGGAAAGGAGAGAATGAGTGAGTGTGTGTGTGTGTGTGTGTGTGTGTGTGTGTGTGTGTGTGTGTGTGTGTGTGTGAATATGTGGAAGCCAAAACAGGGGTGCATTAGTGAGAGAAAGCATATGTGTGTATGTGTGTGTGTGTGTGTGTGTGGTGGGGCTCATCCCCGTGTAGCCATGATTTATGCGAGACACACTCGAGTGTGTGACTGGAGGCAGTGGTTTTTGAAGATGGAAAAAAAAAAAAGAGGAAGAAAGAAGCGATGACGCTACGACCGCACTCCGTTTAACATTCACGTGTTTTACATTTTCAGGCTCCGAGAGGGTGACATTTCATTTCTCACAGCGAGTGACTAATTCAATTTCACCGCCCGCCTATCCTTCATCACCGTCCCTGTCTCCCTGCACTGCCAGCCACACACACACACACACACACACACACACACACACACACATGCACACAAATAAATTTGTCTCAACAAGTTTTTCCAAAGCAGTACACACACACACACACACACACACACACATGCACACAAATGTCGACACCAAACCATCTAAATAAAAATCCTCGTCTCGTTTTTTCGTATCGTCATGGCGACCCCCAACATCTTTCTCTGGTTAGGCCGAGTGATTAATAGACGTAGAGAAGACGTGAGTAAAACGTCAGAACAAGTTTTTTTTTCTCGTCTCACTCCCTCGTCTGTGTCCCTAATGGCTCTCTTCACCACTTTATTCATATCTAACGCGCTCCTCTCTTTCTTTACGACGTATAAAAATGTACTTCAGTGTATGTTTACGTATATTACTGCATTTACATTAACATTAATGACGAATGACTGAAACAATAGTCCCGCCCTTAACTCCGCCCCTAACATAAATATAATCTTTATAACTTTTCATACCAATGATTGTTACGAATTAGCGAGCATGAGACGTTGTTTAAGTCGGAAGATGTTTACGTTTTTTTTTTTTAATCACTTTCAGATCCTGCGTACATTCTGATAACGTTTTATTTAAAAAGTTAATAAATCATAAATTAAGCAAACATCCACTGATCTTATAGGTTCTTATAAATCACTGAGTAACCAATCAGAGTCCAGCTTTGCTCAACAGAGTGATGTATAATTAAGTGAATTAATATATAAAAATTAATCAATTAATTAATTAATGGTGTTTTTTTTCTTGGTTTGTTGATGCACACATACACCATATTTTATTTTTCTCCCATTTTACATTTTTTTTTTTAATTATTATTATTATTTGTCATTTATTTTCCCATCCTTTTCCCCATATATATATATTGATAACAAATTATATATATTTATTATTATTAATAATATTATTATTATTTTAAAAAGCTGTGGAGATGAGAGGAAGTAAAAAGAAGAAATAAATACAATTAATTCTTTTTAAATTGCACATGATAAAAAGAATTCAGATCTAAAGGTATAAACCATATATTTATATATTTATTTATTTAATATAATTTTGTTTTTAGGCATATTACATTTTTTTTTGTATATAAACTATTCTGAAAACTCACAAATAGTGGTTTATTAAAGCATTTATTTTCATTATTTATTTGCTTATTTGCTGTTTGTGCTTAGTTTTATTTATACTTGTTTTTTTCTGTTTCTTTATATATTATATATAAAATATTCTATATATTTTCAATATTATTTATAAAATATTTGTTCGACAGGAAATGATTAAATCTAAGAGTGTAAATAAGAGTGTGTTGTTGAGCAGAGTTTCAGCTCCTTACACCAATAAAGTGTGTATTATATCAGATTCGACTGTATCGCTGTATGGTTTTTTTCTCAGACGCAGTTCACGAGCTCGTGACCGTAGTTCACACACACTCTCCTCTCCCAGTCTTTCATCATATCTAATAAACCTGTCCAATAAAGATTTTTATGAAGCCATCACTGCAGTAATGCTGCGTGTCATTCCGTCTACGTCGAGCTCAGAGCCGTTAAATCTGCTCCATACCGACTCAGTGTAAACACGCCGGCGTGGGTTAGCACGCTAATCACACACTGACGCAATTACACACGTGAACTTTTCCAACTTCAAATTTGCTAGTCTCAATAGTGAAAATGTTTAAATGGAATAAAGGCTTTTGATTACGTTTTTATGTCACTTTTCTTTAGAATCTTTAACAGAACAACGGTTTATGGAAATGTACTAAATTTCTTTTGCTAACTTTCTGGAAACTTTCCTAAAATGTTTCAACGCTAATCACTAGATTTTAGTCCAAGCTTAATGGCAGCTATGTGAAATTTACTATGCCATAAATGTTCAAAAATAATTCATATAATTACATAATGTTATTAGTTACAAAGCAACTCCTATGTGAGGATTCTAGTCATTGACTTTAGCTCTGTGTTTAATCCTGTCATTCCATCTAAGCTGATCTGGGAAGTGGTAGATCAGTGGGTAAGACGTTGGACTTCTGATTAGAAGGTCATGAGTTCAAATCTCAGCACCACCAGTCTGCCACTGCTGGGCCTTGAGCAAGGCTCCTAACCCCCAACTGGGTGAGATAATAGTGAGTCGCTCTGGATAAAGGCATCTGCCAAATGCCATAAATGTAAATGTAATGCAAACTCTCCAGTCTTGGTATCAGCACCGCTCTCTACACATGGACTGTTAGACTTGGCAACAACATCTCAACACCGGCGTACCACAAGGCTGGGTTCTGAGTCCGCTCCTCTACTCTACTTCACCTCCGACTGCATACCTGTGCACCTCCATAATCGAGTTCACAGATGACACTACGTTGGCCGGCCTGATCAGAGATGAGGACGAGACAGACTACAAGGAAGATTTTCAGCATCTGGTACCATGGTGTGCCAATAACAGCCTCGATCCTAACACCCAGAAAACCAAAGAACCAATCGTGGACTACCGGAAGTCCTTTCTGGGTGTCCGCATCTCCGCTGACCTTTCCTGGAAACACCTCAACACCTCCTCTCTCTTCAAAAAAGGCACAAGAGCACCTGTACTTTCTGAGGAGACTGAAGAAAGCTCACCTTGCTCCTCAGATCATGGTGAACTTCTATCGCTGTAGCATTGAGAGCATCCTTACAACTGCATCACCACGACTGTGCAGTGTGTGACCAGAAGGCACTACAGCGGGTAGTGAAGCTGCCCAACACATCGCTGGAGCACATCGCTGTAGCACATCGCTGGAACTCAGCTGCCCAACATTTCAGACATTTATCAAAAGCGTTGCTTGTGGAGAGCGAGAGGTGTTCTCAAGGACAGCTCCCATCCCCACCATGGACTGTTTGTGCGTCTCCCATCAGGAAAACGCTACAGAAGTCTGTGTTGTTGCACAGAAAGACTCATGAACAGCTTTTTCCCTTCAGCTGTACTGATGCTGAACTCTGCCAGCCTCCACCTAATAACTACACATTAGCAATAAACACTACTGTTATCTGCAATCATTTGCAAGTAGTTTCACTTTATCTGTCACTATTACTATTATTTATATCAGATTGTTATTTGCACATGTGCATTTTTATCCACTTTGTGTATCCACTGCATCGTATTGCATGCATCATGCTGTTTACCTCCACTTTTATACTGTTTACTGTTTATCTCAACTCACTGCACCTTAATTATTATTTATTCCATTAACTTAATTGCCATTTGCATTACATGTTATGCGTCATACTGTTCACCTTTACCTTTACACTGTTAACTTATTACACCATAATCTTATTTCATTGTCTCTGTACTCACACTCTGACAATGACAATAAGGTTGAACCTGACCTAACGTAATTATTTCAGTAATCGTAATAATAATTATTAAGGTTTTGATAAGAAGCTAAAATGTGAAGCACACTGAACTAACCGACTGTCTGAGCTGCAAACGTATTGAAAATATTACTGTATTATTAAGTTTCCTGAATCATGTCCCAAAAAAAATCGGTCAACTTTCACGTAGTTAAAACAAAAAAAAAACATCAACAAGTCATCGCTCTGAACTCTACAGCTGGATAAATGCTTAAACTTCTCTTTGAAGCTCATTCTGATTCAGTAGATTTGTATGTTATAGTTAATTTACGTACTAAGGTTTATCTCTGTGTGAAACTGATCTGGGGGCGGAGCTACGTATCAGCTTGTGAGGTCACAAAACAGGCTTTCACGAATCATAGGATGATATACAAATTAACAGGAAAGAAGTTGACATGGTAACTGGAAATGTTTAAGGTAGCTAGATTTATAATTTGGCTAACATCAGTGATGAGGAGATGATGGTTGTCATGGAAGAGACACTGATACTGATATCTGTGACTAATGTGAGATAAATATGCAAGTATTTATGATAACAGGAGAACATGGGGGCGTTTCTGATTTGCATGTCATGCATATTCATAGATCCTGGTATTGTTAATATGGATAAAGTTATAGAGATGCTCCTCAGCCATTTTTAGAATTGAGTAAAGTTGTGTGTAAATGTTTTGCTACTCATGTGTTTATGTTGATAAACTCCAATCACCTGTGAATTACCAAACACACTCACAGCACATTTTGATTTAGCCACACCCACAAAACTCCATAAAAGGAAAAGAGAGCTTAAAACAACAAAATGGCGATGAAATGGTGAAAGCACGCATCCTAAGAACAAATTGAGCTAAATTTTCCAGTAATGCAGCTCAGCCACTGCAGCGCACACTACCATAGACACACACTAACTCTTCCTTCTTTTACAGGGCGCCATTACTTTTGTCCTGATCGCACAGCTAGTTTTATTTGTCCACATTTGTGGATTTGATTTGGAATCACTTTATTTCTAGTCAGTTATATGAATCGCAGTAACTCATCGAGAATTCTACGATTCAAAGCCGAACGATCGAGTTTCACATTAGTGAATTTACGAATAGATGAATTCATGTGCAGCTCCCAGTGTGAGCAGATTTTTAACTTGCCATATAAAATATATTTTATTCAGTACTTTCAAACTCGTGTGTGTGTGTGTGTGTGTGTGTGTGTGTGTGTGTGTGTGTGTGGTTTGGACACAGGGTTTCAGATTGAAAGGTGAAACACAGATACAGTAAAACGTCTAAAACTCAACCCATGTTATCGGGAGTAAAAGTGAAGTTTTTTCCTGAATAATGTGTTTGTTTGTGACTGTAATTAGTCACACCGCCACACCGAATCCCAGCAGCCCCGGCGGTTTGAATCTGCACGGTCTGCGGATCAGAGCGATCTTAATGAAACACATTTTACGCAGAGGAGAGGAAAAAACAGAGCGCTAGTAAAACTGGAAGGGAAAAAAAAAAGAAAAGGTTTAAAAGGCTCCAGAAGGAAAGCTGAGAAACCGGCGGCTGGCACGATCTCGCCGCGATCCGAGCCTCTTACATTTTCCTACTGAGGCTTTTCAGGGCTACTGTCAGCCATAATAACGCTTCGCTACAGCACACACACACACACACACACACACACACACACATATACACACACATACATACACACACACAGAGACACATATATAGAGTATACGAAACTGTACATTTTTAGAAGAAGAAAAATCACAAGATTGTTGTGATTTAACTCCAACGTTACTCACGTCGCCCCCCGTAGCGAGTGCGGACGAAGTGAGTCACGGTTTGTGACTGAAACAACGTCGTTGGTGGCAAACGTTTATTTCAGGCTGGAGTTTAATTTCAAAGTGGGTTTGTGCACGGCGCAGTGTGAGACTCGTTCCCTCGGTTGCCATCAGAAACACATTTAAACGTTTTCACTTAAATGTCAAACCACTGAAGAATCAGATTCACTTCTGTAACTCTCTCTCTCTCTCTCACACACACACACACACACACACACACACATGAAGTCCTGAAGTTTTTAATTGTTTTTATTTACACATTTTATTTTTACATCTGGTGTTAAAGAGTAGACTATAGACTCCTTCAACAATAAAGCTGCGTTCACACTTCAAGCCTAAATGTCACCGTGTTGAATGGGAGAGTTAAAGAATTTAAACATGAGGTCTCATAAAACTATCACGCTCACACACAGGAGCACGATCACTGATCACTGATCACACACGATCACTGAACGACCGGATTGATATAAAAAAGAAAAAAAAAATCCCAAAACTTTCATTTCCTTTCACGTCGTTTTCACTTGGACTGGACGTTGTTTGTTTGATCGATCAAGTTTATTACACTCGCTACTGTATTTCACAATCAATCACTCAATCAGTGCTGCTGCTGATGATGATGATGATGATGATGATGATGATGATGATATAATTACATTTCTATACACAATCAAAATAAAACTCCACCAAAAATCTACACGCTTCAGAGGAAACAGTGTGATAACGACCTGCAGACGACGCGAGCCGAAGATCTCGAGCTTTCACAGGAAACGCCTACAGCTACAGGCCAGCCGTTAGCTAGCTGAGTGAGCTAGACTAGCTAGCCGGATCGTTTGATGTTTTACAGAATGAAAGATTGGTATTAAAGTATTAAATTATCGGTTTGATGTTCAGTAGCGATCCCCTGTTGCTTAAGCTATATCTATAAGTCCTGCTGCAGTCTATAACTTACGCTTAGGATAGTGCGTAAGGAGTATCTTCGCCTTAACCGGCTAACATTATGTTTCTATTTACTGTTTGGTTTTTTCATTAGTCATGGTCTTTATAAAAAAAAGAAAAATAGCACAGAGTAGGAAGGAACATGTCTGCTTTAGGTGTCGATAGCAGACGTGTAAAAAAATCATGATTGTTTTTTTTAAAAGTAGGTTTTAATTCATTTGAGTAACTATTGTATCATTACCTTTATATTTATTCACTGAATTATTAGTGCAGTTGCAGTATTTTCACTCAACTCAGTGTGTTTCGTACTCTTTCCACCAACGCGTGCTACGGATGTTTCAGTGACGCTAGCTTAAAATAAATTAGCCTCAACGCATGAAAAATCTAAGATGCGCAACTTTCAGCGATGATCTGTAGTCTGGATGAGAAAGATATCAACCTCGGCCTTCTTCTATCCAAACCACAGACCGGATCATGCTGCAGAAATGACGTTATGGATGTTTTCACACCTGTTAGTCCGTGTGCCTGAAATCGACCATTTTAGTTCCTTTGCTATTTGGTTCGGTTTCTTCGTGTTGCAGTGTTTTAAGGTTTGAAGTGCAGGGAGCCAATCAGATTTCAGCTTTGAAGATTGTGAAGCTTGTAGCCAGAAAAGTGTAAGAAGTAGGAGTGCCCCTCCTCCTACTCCTACCAAAAAAAAATGGACTTGTTACATTCTGGAGCAAAGCATCGTAATTCCCGTTTTTACGTCACCTGACGAGCGAAAGAAAGCTAATGTGCTGTTTTGTTTTGTTTTGTTTTTAAATCCATGTCGTTGTTCTTGACACACAGCTCTGAGGAGTGAATGATGGAAACTAAAACTACTGAAATTAGATTTTCCTGGTCGCACGTCTATAATTTGAAAATCTCAAACAAACGTGGTTTGAATCTGAGTCA